AAGCTAGGGTTTACTTTCTGTAGCTTAAGGTTGGTTTGTGGAGTCCTTGATGCTTCCTGAGCTTGGATGTTTGCTTGCATTTCATTACCTTGTCTGAGTTGGTAGTTCCTTGACCGGGGCGTCATTTACTGTTCGATTGTTGGTCTTACATTAATTCTGGTGTTAAACTATCAAACAGTAAACAGCAGACCAATCAAGGACCTACCAAAAAGAAAACAATGCTCCCATCAGTGCTGACAGAGCAAGCCATCTATATATATAAAAGTAAAATACCACTCATGCATCTTCACAAAATCTCCAGAATCGTAAAGCCTACAAACTTGACACTTGGCACATATGTTCCTCTTGGCTTCTAGGTGCTCACTAAGAAAGGATTTTTTCCAAATGACCATCAGAGTATTAGTATTTCCTATATTATTATTAACACGCTCTGATGCTAAGGAGTTCTACTCCCCCTCCCAACTGGAAAAGGAATCTCTTCCAAAATGCAAAAGACAAGCAGAGGAGTTTCAGTTTCAGTTTTAGTTTCACAGCACCAAGCAGCTTTAGTACAGAACAGCTGAGCTAAGACATGCCCAGGCTCCTTGCTGTCTCCTTGCTCAGAGAGCAAATACTGTTTCACTTTCCAAATAGCTCTCAACTCTCTCACACACTGACAGGATGCTAGGCAGATCAATACTGATGGATGCTGGTAGTCAAGAGGCAGAATTTTTTCCCCTTATTTTCCTCCCCCAAAACTAAGCCCGACCACATAGTTTTGTAGTGAAGCACGGGTATCGAGCTAGTTTGAAAGCAAATCCCACTCTCTTCTGATGATGTTACATCTGCAAACAAACAACCAAGTTCAGACATCATGAAGGGCTCTGCCTCTTTTGCCCATCTAACATATCAACATGGGGGGAGGGGGCGTCAAAAGCTTTTTATCTGACCTCTTTGATGCAAACGGTTCAAATCTGGCCGTCGTATTTCATTTTAATGAGCGGTGAGTAATTCCACTGTTCTTCTTTTAAAGTAGTTAATGCTGTTTCAACAGCCTTGCTATTAGTGCCAGAACACATTCTGTGATGTTTTCACAGCCAAGTCAATTCCTTTCAGTTTGAGAGATGAGGAACAAATCAAACCACCAGGCTGCTCAAAATGTACTTGTTAATGAAAGACCCTGAATATTACTTCTTAGGCCTTTGAGTTAATTGAAGCGTTTTCTTCTGTAATCATTGTGACGGCAGCTTCTCACAGCAGTTTAGTTGTAACTGGTAAATTCAGTGTAGGGTTATTATTGTGCCTGACTCCTTGATATCTGAACCAAGACCTCTTTCAACTGTACTTTGGCAAAGGCTTATTTTTAAAACTTATTTTTAATGAGAAGTAAGTTTTCTGCAGATTTGTCCTAAATAGCAGCATTCTACAAACCTAGCACAATATTTCAACCTTTGCTTAGAATGTTAACAACTGGTTCTAGCGAATAGGTGAAAACTGGTAGAATCCCACCCCTGGTTTCCTGCCTGAGCAGGGGGTTGGACTAGAAGGCCTCCAAGGTCCCTCACAAATCTGTTATTCTGTTCTGTTCTGTTCTGTTCTATTCTATTCCATATTCCATATGTTCTATTCTATTCTATTCTATTCTATTCCATTCCATATTTTCTTTTCTATCCTATCCTATCCCATCCCATTCCATATTTTCTATTCTATTCTATTCTATTCTATTCTATTCTATTCTATTCTATCCTATCCTATCCTATCCTATTCTAAATAACTGTGTACCATTGTGCAGGAGAAGGATTGGCAGAACAAAGAATGGGTGGAGTTAAAAGAGGAATTAGCTGAGTGCCAAAATGTGTGCATGCACATGCATGATGGAAACCAGAAGAGCAGCTCCTGGCCACCTGTTGGGTCATCCTTTTAGAGATCGTTCCTGACCAGATTCCTTAGTCTTCAAAAGTGACAGAGCTTCCAATGTCCTACGTTCACTTTTCCTACCTGGAAAAGTTGGGAAATATTCAGAGATGCCATGAAAATCACTGACGTAGAACTGTGTAGTGCAGTCAAATGTCAGCAGACAATGCCATAAACTGTTTTATGATAGCAATAGTAATAGCGCTTAGACTTATGTACCGCTTCGGGGGTGCTTTACAGCCCTCTCTAAGTGGTTTACGGAGTCGGCCTATTGCCCCCAATAATCTGGATCCTCATTTTATTGACTTCGGATGGATGGAAGGCTGAGTCAACCTTGAGCCAGTCAGGATCGAACTGTTGGTAATGGGCAGAGTCAGCCTGCAATGCTGCATTCTAATCTCAGTGCCACCAAGAAGGAGAATGAGAAAGGGAAGGAGAATGAGAAAGGAAGGAAGGAAGGAAGGAAGGAAGGAAGGAAGGAAGGAGGGAGGCAGGGAGGGAAGGATAGCATTCAGATTTATATACCGCTTCATAGTGCTTTACAGCCCTCTCCTCCTCCTCCTCCTCCTCCTCCTCCTTCCATATCCATCATTGGACATTAGTGATCATGTTGGCGATCCTATCAGCAGTTTACAGAGCCAGCATATTGCCCCCCAACAATATTGAACTTGGTATTCCAAGGAGAAACTGTTTTTTAACTGAACTCAGCTCGCAACCAACTGAACCAAACTTAAGCATTTTCAAAGCCATTAATTCCAACAAAAGAAACTAAATAAGAATTTCAGGATCATATTTACGCCAGAATTTACAGAATTGCTTATGTCTGGGTGAATTGCTTAGGTCCTGCTCAACCGAGCAGATAACAAAAACAAAGAATTGTTCATTAATCATGTTTTAAAAGATGTCATGTTGAAACCCATCAGTCTGATTTAATTTGCATGAATCAATTATCTGAAGAAAACCAACACAGTTAATTATTCTTTCATTTAAATCTGTGATCGGTTCAGGAGAATCTTCCAAAATGTTACAAGCAGAGAAACTATGTGAACGCACACCCAAGATAAATTACATTCACAATTCACATTGCATCACCGTGTTAAATTTACCCCTTATTACATACAGGTCACCGAAGACAATTGTCGTTCATGTTTGAACCCTGGGGAAAATTCTAATGAACAACTAGGAAGAGAATCATTTGCAGAAATCAATTAGCCCACTGCGCCACTCATTACTTACTCATGCCTTCATGATCCTCACTTAAAAAAAGATTTGCAGCCTTTCCCTCGAAAGACAGTACAGGTAGCATGGCTTGGTGGGCGCGCTTTGCACGCATTTTGCATGCATGCATGCGCCAAACATGCACTTTGCGCAGGCACAGAGGCGTTTTGACTCACCTCCTTCAAGCCTGCACTCTCCCAGTCGCTTCAGCAGCTGCCGCACAGCACTCTTCTATGCCGCGCAAAGCAGCTGTGCTTCAAAAGCAGAAGATAAAAGTGAATATGGGAGCCCGGGCAGGTGGGTGGGCCCAACAGCAGAGCAGTGGAGAGAACTGGTTCGATCTCCTCTGCTCATTGCCGCTACTGGCTTGGCAGAACTGGGCCGAACCGGTAGCATAACATCACTGGTGGGTTTCAAATGCTGCGCACACTCACCAAAATGGTTGTCGCACCCAGTGGTGGGATTCAAATTTTTTTACTACCGGTTCTGTGGGCGTAGCTTGATGGGCTTGGTGGCTTGGTGGGAGTGGCAGGGGAAGGATACTGCAAAGTCCCCATTCCTTCCCCAACCCCACTAACCTGCTTTCCAGCTCCGTTCTCCTGTGCAGGGCAACAAAAGAAGACCCACCCGATCAGCTGGGACACAATGGGAGGCAAAGAATAGATGGGGGCAGGGCCAGTCAGAGATTGGATTTGCCGGTTCTCCGAACTACTCAAAATTTCTGCTACCGGTTCTCCAGAACTGGTCAGAACCTGCTGAATCCCATCTCTGGTTACACCGGTTGAATCCCGCCACCGGTCATGAGCTACACAACATATTACCCAAGGAAATATTTAAAGAATTATAATCCGGAAACAAAAAGTTTACCCAGAGCAAAAGATTTTTAAAAAAAGGGGAGACTCACTCACCAGAGTGTCCAGTCATGGGCACAGTATGGTTGAACATTCCCCAAGTAGAATCCAAGGGACTGAGTAACTTCCAACAAGTTGGTGAAGTCCAGGCTAATGCTATTGAAAAGCACGGAGGTCATAATGATTTCATCAATGGCCCAAACATCTTCGCCTTGAGAAGAATGGTATGGTTGCCACCACCGGAACTGAATGCCAAACTGTCTTGCATCTTCTGGCAATTCCACGGAAATTATTCTTTTTTTAAAAAAATAAAGAAATTGGATTAATGAAAAGGGTCTAGAAATCACGAAGATGATTCTCACTCTTCATACTATAGGTAGTCCTTGACTTACGACCACAATTGTGCCCCGTATTTCTGTTGCTAAGTGAGACATTTGTTAAGTGAGTTTTGCCTCGTTTTCCTGACCTTCCTTGACACAGTTGTTAAGTGAAGCCCTGTGGTTGTTAAATTAGTGGCATTTTCTTCTGTGCCATTGTAACATCAAATGGTCACTAACTGAACTTTTGTAAATTGAGGACTACCTGTATCGTATACAGAACTGTTACACAAGGTAAGTGAAAATGATACACTGAACAAATTGAGTCATCCTGCAAGGGAGATTCATTTACCTGATTACTGCCTATTTGTATTAACACATTTGTGTTTTATCACTTTATTTCCTCTATTTATTTTATTCCAGAATTAAATTATGTACTGCATTTTATTTCATTTCATTTTATATTTTATTTTATCAATCAACTACTAATATTACTATTATCACTACATCAAACTGGCGCTCTTGTCTTTAGCAGACTGTTACTACTACAACAGCAATAATTGGTTTTATCCACTAGATGGTAGCAAAGAGATCAAAGAAAATCTGAACCCATTTATGCCATCTCCTGGTTAGATTTTTTTTTTTTCAGCCCAAATACGACAATCTTAACTTTAAGGCAGTTGGTGACTAATCTTTTTGGGCTCCTGTGCCAAAAATTGCATGCCCGTGCGTGTGCGCTTGCATGCCAGCACCCAGAAGGCAATGCACTCCATCCCCCCATGCCCCCCGCACATGCATGCATGATTCCCCCTCCGCTGCCCCCCTATCTGCACTGCACCTCCCAGCTGATTTTCGGCCCATTTGAGGCCTTTTTCAGCCTCCCAGAGGCTCCAGGAAAGCCTCTGCAGCCTTTGGAGGCCGAAAAAAGGGCCCGTTTCGTCACTTCCAGTATTTCCGGAAATACAGGAAGTGATGAAACAAGCCTGTTTTTTGGCCTCCAAAGGCTGCAGAGGCTTCCCTTGAGCCTCTGGGAGGCCGAAAAAGGCCTCAAACGGGCCGAAAATCAGCTGGGAGGCACATGCATGCGCAGTGAGGTAAGTTGCCCGGGGCTCGTGTGCCCACACAAATGGCTCCGTGTGCCACCTGTGGCATACATGCCATAGGTTCACCATCACAGCTTTAAGAGATTAAGAACTGAATTTTCCAGGATCAAGAGAAGGGGAAATGAGGATAAAGATAGAATTCTTAAATGTCTTAGGCTGTATTTCTAACCAGGTTAATCATCCGATATAAAGAGCATTAAAGAAAAGATAAAAAATGGTGGCTGGAATTGAGCATGCCTAGTTTAATGAAAAGAAGGATTAGGAGTGATATGATAGCACTGTTCCAATTTTTGAGGGGCTGCTACGAAGAAGAGGGGGTCAACCTATTCTCCAAAGCACCAGAAGGCAAGATGAGAAGCAATGAATGGAAACTAATCAAGAAGACGTAAGGAGGCATTTTCTGACAGTGAGAACAATCAACCAATGGCTTGCCTCCAGAAGTTGTGAATGCTCCAACACTGGTAGTTTTCAAGAAGAGCCTGAACAAACATTTATCTGAAATGGTAGAGTGTTTCCTCCCTTAGCAGGGGGTCGGACTAGAAGACCTTTAAGGTCCTTCCTAACTCTGTTATTCTGCTATCTTCACTATTCAACATTGCACTACATTTTAACTCATTTATTCTTGTCCTGCTTGTATGTTTGGGGAGATTTATTTTGCAATAAAAACCTCAGTCTGTCATCAGGGCTAAAGACAATATTTGTTAAGATTTTCAGCAGCTTTTTAGCAGTGCCCAGGATGAATAATACATCGCCTGTACATGGTCTTGAATTTCTGTCCTGGAACTATTTCTTTCTTCCCTCATTTAGATTGTTCCTGGAAGAACAGGGATGGATATCTTGACAAACAGATGCTTTTACATCTTCGTCGTTATCTGCTAGGGATTTTTGACGACGTCAAGTCATGACCCCCCACTGAAGACAGACTCAACTGTCAATCAAGTTGGATTTCATAAATGGAACTAAAGCAAGCACCATCTTGCTCTTATTTGGGACGAAAAAAAAATGTCTTGGCAGGAGAGTCTGCTTTGCCTTTTTCTCTGTGTGGGTCAGCTTTGTGCCAAAGAGTGCTGGCAGAGAGAACAAAGCACATATTTTATTTCTTGATTAAGCGATTTTCTTTTATATGTACTTCACTGTAGCAAGGAAATTGAATGAAGTTCCATTCTCAGTCTGGTGGGGAGCAGAATGGTACCAAACAAGAATATCCACACATAAACATTAATTGTAGTGAGGAAATCAACAGTCTTCTGCTGTGTGGTTGGTGAGCCAGGCCCACAAGGAACCTTCAAGAACCTCCCTGGCAGCTGTGACAACAAAAACCTAGATTTGATGAACTGTGAAGAAAATTAAGAATAATATTGAATTTCCAGGCACAATTACGGAACACAGCCATGGGGAACATACATTAATTGCCATGGCAATGACATCTTTGAGGATGTTCCATAAATCAATAACAGCAGATGCCCACATGAAACACGCAAAGGCAAAGGCTGAGGCATAACAACATGAGGGATGTTTATTCCCATCAACGTATAATAAAATATTGGCAAAGGAACTCTCGGTATCCTACCAACCTTGTCTTTTTTCCCCTCAAAAGAATAAATTCATACATTAACTTCGACGTCTTCCCCTTGCTGGGTCTAACAATAACCACACTTATGCCACAACTTTGCATCTTCGCTTGTGACAAAGAACACACAAACACACATTGAAAAGCACTGTTTATGCCATCTTTGTGAACTTTGATGGGTGTGCCTTTTGAGCATCTTGTGATAGCATGTTTATTACCGAGGAAGGATGTGTTAATTGATTAGCAAGAAGATCAAATGATGAAGCTGAACAAGTAATTTTGAGAGAAACGGTGTGTGTGTGTGTGTGTGTGTCAGGAAATTAAAAGAATCTGGAGAATAATATGTGGTCTGGTTTTCTGACATGCTGTGAATCAAGTTCAGCCATGAAAAACAAGGACCATTTCAAAGTTCCCACACTCCATCCATCCCTCCAACACAAGGAATGAAGAGGAAAAAAAATAGGTTCTTTTTTCCCTGAAGAATGAAAAATGCAAGACAGGTGTTTCACAAGACTTTGGATTAATTGTTAAATATACATTCCTTTTCGCAATGCACCTATCCAGCCCAGTGTGTAGGAAAATATTACATTTAGGTGGGAAAAAACCTGCGAGAGCTTTACATTTGAAGCGCACATAACAAAATAACCAAATTACAGAATAATAGGATGGAAAGGGACCTTGGAGGTCTTCTAGTCTAACCCCCTGCTCAAGCAGGAGACCCTAGACCATTCTGGACAAATGGCTGTCTAGTCCTTTCTTGAAAATCTCCGTGGTAGAGCATCCACAACTTCTGGAGGCAAACAATTCCACTGATTTAATTGTTCTCATTGTCGGGAAATTTCTTCTTAGTTCTAAGTTGGATCTTTCTTTAATGATCTTCCACCCATTACTTCTTGTTCTGCCCTCAGGTGCTTTTGAGAATAAGTTGACCTCCTCTTCTTGGTGACACTCTCTTTAATATTGAAATATAGTTATTGTATCACCTCTAATCCTTCTCTTCTCTTTGTTGGATTGGACATGTCTAGTTCCATCAGTCGTTCATCAGTAGGATTACTCTACCACTTTCTTCTTTTTCTATCTTCAAAACTGGCAGAAAAGGTTGATGTGAGTCCTAGCAACCACAGTGAAGCAGGAGTCTAATGGTCTTGAGAAGGCACGTAGAGAGACATGTAGGTACTCTAAGACTGGATGTTCTCTATCCTCGCTGGACAGAATGTTGGAAATGAGAAGATCCACAACAGCCTCCAGCTCAGTGGTCTCCAAACTTGGCAACTTTAAGACTTGTGGATTCCAACTCCCAGAACTCCTCAGCCAGCTATGAAGACTTGAAGTCCACAAGTCTTAAAGTTGCCAAGTTTGGAGACCTCTGCTCTAGCTATTCTAGTAAACTAAACCTAGATCTTCTCAATTCTTCACAAGATCACCCCATCTCACCTCTTCAAAGGATTGTTGTTGGGATTAAAAACAGGAAGAACATCTTCAGAGCCTCAATTTCTTCATAGAAAGGCAGGATAGAAAGCAGGTAAATACAGGCTATGGTATGTTGTATAACATACTTTGTATAACACCAACGCAATTATTAAATTTGCAGATGACATGACAGTGGTGGGGCTCATTAATAAGAACGATGAGTCTGCTTATAGAAAGGAAGTACAAGGGCTGACACTGTGGTGTAAAGAAAATAATCTTACACTTAACACCCAAAAAACTAAAGAACTTATAATTTACTTCAGGAGGAAGAGAGATGTACATTTACCATTGTACATAAATGGTGAGAAGGTGGAGAGGGTTGGTAGTTTTAAATTTCTGGGCATTTCTATCTCGGAGGGCCTCTCATGGACTATGAATGCTAACATGCTTGTGAAGAAGGCACAGAAGAGGCTGTACTTCCAGAGAATGTTCAGGAAGATAAATCTAGCTCAACATCTACTTCCATCCAATGAGAGTGTCCTGACATACGGCATTCTTGCATGGTATGGGAGCAGCTCTGTAGTGGACAAAAAAGCTCTATAAGAGATTCATTAAAACTGCCCAGAATATCATCGGGCTCCAGCTACCAGCCCTGGATGACATCTTTTCACCTTGCTGTTTGAGGAAGTTGCACAACATTCTCAAAGACTCTTCCCATCCTGCTTACAATCTTTGTGAAGCTGTTGACTTCTAGAGAAGATACAGAACCATTAAAACTTGGACGACACGTTTTCTGAACAGTTTTTATCCCAGTGTTATAACTGCACTTAACAATGAACTTAAGGACCACCATCAGTGAGTGGTTGGACAGTATTACTTGGTCTGTTGTGTGGATGCTTGTGTGTTTTTAGGGGTTGGGGAATTTTGGTGGGTGGGGTTATGCTTGGGGATTGTCATGTGTGTGTGCATGTTGACTGGGTGTTATGTGAATTTTGTTGTATGTATACTGTGTACATACAACAATTGTATGTACATACAATGACTGTATACGTACAACAACAATAAAGAATTCAATCTTCAATGTTGTATAAAAAGAATTATAGGAATTTGACACTGGGCACAGAGGTTGTAGAACTGATTCCTAATAGGATGCTTTCGCATTGTACCCCAATTAAAGCAATGCATTTACCTTGGCTCGTGATAGTTGAGATAGGGGTAATGTTCCAGAAGTTTCCACGTAATCCCATTGTCGTACGAATAGTGCAACAAAACACCTTCTCCAGGCTGGTCGGGTGCTTTGCAAGTACTCAGAACAGATCTGCTGCCGAGTCGCAAAGTAAACTGGAGGAATCTGGTTTGACAAGGGTTTGAATCATTATAAATTACCATTCCCACAGCATTCTCTTCCCAAACCTGCCTTATTTTTTTTTAAATCCTGTACATTAAAGCACACCTAAAGTAAACAATACCGATGCCTCCTTCCTGGAGTTGAAATTGTTTATTCAATCCAGCCAGGTAGCACGGCACGGATTGTTTTAAAATGCCAATCACTATTGCATTTCATTATTTATTAGGAACTGGAGGGGTGGAGGAGCCATTGAATGGATCTAATCAGCTGCCACAAGCTGTCAAAATAAATACAAGCCCTTAAATAATTAAGCAGCACTTGGCTCCCACACTCACTTTTGATATTAATGTTGCATGCTTGCAAACTCAGGCACCATATAATTACCCCCCAATGTATTAAACACTTAGCCTTGCAAATAAAGTGTGGTTTTTCAAAAAAAAAAAAAAAGAATGAAAATGCATTCTCGTATCCAGAATTAAATGTAAAAATACAAAGCCATCAAAAATTTAAGCGCTGATTTTTTTTTTCTCTCTCTCTCGATCAAACACAAGCTCCCCTTTTAATTGAAGACGGTAAAGGATTAATTCCAAGCAACAGATATCCAGAACCGGATTCAAAGGAGGCTGCCTCGTTTTCATTTATTCCCACTTACCTTGATTGGGAGCTGTCGAAGAATGACGTGATGAGTTGACGTCTTCCATCCTTGTTAAAAACCAGGGCTTTGCCACTTGCTAGCACTCCGCAGCCGAAACTGACTTCAGCACCACGGATAGAGTAAAAGTTGTGATAGGAGGAGAGCCTGGCATTGCTGAAACTTTCCGAGATAAACATTGGAAAAGTTTGAGAGGCCATTTCGCAGGCAGGGCCTGAAAAGCCAGGGTCACACCTGTTTAGGGAAAGAAGCGAAAGCCAGCTAAATATGACCAACCTTGGAGAGAAATAAGTCGCAAATGTTGTACGAGATCCTTAAGAAATACAAAGCTATAAGGCCACAAAATGTTAATACCCTCTCTTCATTTGTTTTACTTTTACTTTTAATTAATTAATTTATTTGTATTCCACCTTCATTGATTTTACGAACAACTCAAGGTGGCAAATGTATCCAGCACACCTTCATCTCCCTGTTTTTCCCCCAACAAAAATGATCCTATGTGATGGATTGGGCTGAGAGATAAGGATTGGCCAGGCTCCCAGCTGGCTAACATGGCTAAAGCAGGTCTAGAACTCACAATCTCCTGGTGATTGGCCCAAAGTCACCCAGCTGG